CAGGTGTAACACCTTCTACTGACAGCGAACTTCTTCCCGGCGAGACCTCCTTAGTCTAATCGCGAGTTTGAGCAATTGGACAAAACACTGATTCGGCTATGAAGGGAAGTAGGATATACGGAGTATCATCTATGTATATGTATATGCGCTGTATTGGATTCCTAATTGGATTTGGAATTATTGTTACGTATAACACACACCATATGTAATTATTATTATTTTATATTATAAAATCTTTATATTTATTTATTGAACTGTAATGTCTATTTTACTCACCACGCTTTACACGTATATCTAAATTTAACAAACTATATACCGTTGGTCACCATTTTACGAGATCTATCCGAAAACCTAATTTTTATTTAAAATGGACAACTTTACCAATAATTCATATTTTAGAGTAAATAAATATTATGTTTATTTTTATTAAAATAACGGCTAACTACTAAGCCGGTTTTTGGGTCATTACATTTCTCTCCCCCTTAAAAGAATTTCGTCCTCGAAATTCCTTAGTCTAATGCCTACTCAAAACACATGCACATACAGTTCACACACACACATGCACATAGGTAGCACATATAAGCCAACTAATCGTGATCAAGTTAAAGTATGAAGCGTACCATTATGAACGTCATTATCCTGAGGGTCTGCGTGCCCTATCATTGCATAAGTACGCGCTGGAGCTCGTCCTTGTGGTTGATTTGGGTTCCTCTGCTTATTTGTTCCAGCAGTCGTGCATTGACTTTGCGTTAGCTGTGGCGTGGCGGTTTGACCTCTCATAGGAGCGGTTGGGAAAGGTTCGCCAGGCTTTGTTGAGCAGGTTCTACGAATGTGTCCCGACTTACCACATCCCAAACAATGGCCTTGGGCAAACCAACACTCTCCGGGATGATTTCGCCCACAAAGTTCACATGTGGGATGCCTTGACGGCTTTGACCTACCACTGGAGGCCACCGATTGGGTAGGTGCTGGTTGGACCTGCACGGACTTGCTTTTCTTTGCATGAGACGCCTCACTTGTCTCGCTTAACGGCCTCTTCGCACTCGGCGTAACACTCACAGTTGGGCGTGTACTAGGTCCTCCTTCCTCGGCCTTCAGGCTGGCCTTGTAATCATCCACATCTTTTTCTGCTTTTGCCATTAGATAATAAGCCTTAGAGAAGTCTGTAGTGGTCAGGATGGATACATATGGTCGAATATCGGGACGTAGCCTCTTACGAAATTCTTCAATACGGTCGGCCGGCGTGGCTACCAGTGTAGTCGCGAACTAGGCTAGATGGTCGAACTTCTGTCGAAGCTCGGGAAGAGTCATGTCTCCTTGCTTTAGTTCCATAAACTCCGTACGTTTCTCTTCTCTGAAGCGGGCCGGTATATACTCCTTCTTGAATGCCCAATCAAAATGCTCTCATGTCCAAGGCTTAGGCGCTTTCTCATCTGCGCGCTTCCACCACTCGTATGCTCCCTTACGAAGGAGCTGGAAAGCAAGCTCAGGACGTCTCGCGTCTGGAACACTCAGATTCTTCAACACTCTTTCTGTCTGTTCAATCCAGTCTAGTGCAATCTGAGGATCAGAGATCCTATCCCCATGGAACTCTTCAGCACCATTGTCCTTCAGCGTTTTCAATGTGATTTTTCTAGGAGGCGGTGGCTGGAACATTGGCGCGTTCGCCATTTGCTGCAGAAATTGCGTCAGGAACACAGGCATAATCGGGTCCGGTTGAGCCTCCACATTTTGTTCCATGTTCTGGGTCTCGTTTTGGTTATTCGACGCTTCACTCATTCTATACAGGTCAAACTTTCCTAATTAATTACTAATACATAGTAAACAAGTAATCAAATTTTATTACCTTCCTGGGCTGAGGAGTCGCGAGAGATGCGGATGCTGCTGCTGAAATACCTCATAAACAAATCACCATTTTTTTTTCAAAACATTTTTTTTTAATTTTGAAATCTTTTTTTTAAGGGTCCGAAGACCCATTTTAAAACCTCTTGCTCCGATACCAAAATGTAACACCCCAACCCGCGTGACCCGAATACAATGACCAGCGGATCGGGTTGCTACTAGATTGACATTCAGACACAATAATTTTCAAAACAATTTAAAAACATTTAATTCAAAACAATATTTAAAACATTCACCGGAGTAAGTAAAACGGTGCGGAAGCCTTTAAGTATTTAATCAAAATACAACTTTGGGTTCTTGCCCTTAAAAACATAAATAATTCAAACTTAAATATTAAGCAGATAACTCCTCCTGCCAGCATCCATCCATCTCTCTGCCCTCGCTGCCCTCCGGGATAGTTCCTTATTCATCATTCAGGTTACCTACGTGTAGCAAATAGGTAAAAGGCTACACGCTCAGCATTGAAGCTGAGTGGAATCTATCTAACGTTCGACTACGCACATAGACGAACCCACTAGCTCATAACTCCATACAATATCATGCACACAAGTATACAATAGAATAGAACATAACAGTCACCAAATAAATTCACAAGTCACAAATCATTACCTTATTTCCTCTGTATTCATAGCTCATAACACAATTTCCAGACTAAGTCCATACTTCTATATTTACAACATGATGTTCGGACTTAGAGTCACTACCTACGGCCATGACTCAAGTCTACTTTATTTAATACCTTATGACACAACACAACTTGATGACCAACGAAGGAGATCTCCGCTGGGTGGGTGGTACCCCTGTCCCCTTCGGAACGACAGTTCTTGGATCCCGTACGTACGTTTTAACCCGCAGCCATCGGATATCAGATCCGCAGGGCTGATCCTATCTATTGACATTTATACTTACAATTGTACTAAGGCAGTCCTAGGGTTCCCCTAGGTAGCATAATCATTTATTTACAACATCTCTATAATTCAAGCTTATTCCAACAACAATCTCACTTCCTTATTTACTTCCATAACCCAACAGGATTATATTTAATCATAACAATAAATATATCATTATTCAGACAATAAATCATACAACTCAATTAGCGGCCTAGTGTCAGGTGTAACACCTTCTACTTACCGTCATGCAAATCACACAAATTCGAAGTAAGAAAACGTACCTGGTCATCCTTGTTCAATCAACTCCAACAATAACATATAATATAATTAAATCATAATTCAATTGTAACAAATAAACCACGTAATCAATCATACGAAACTACGAACGTGAATTTCAAATCTATATACATAATCTAGCGTTAGATGTGCAAGTTCTGACCTCGATTAATTG